TTTTTAAAAATCCTCAAAATTGTTTCTGTACTTAATGCAATTTAACCCTCATAAAAACAGATCAGATTAGAGAGGCTTAGTACCTTGCCCAACATCATAGTGCTAATAGAGAAATAGAGTGGGGATTCCAACCAAGATCTCTCCGACTGCCAATCCTGAATTCTGAACTACTCTATTATTACTTATCCAGAGTATTTGGTATAATCAGTAATGGTTGCTTTACATCTAGTGGTCAGAATTTATGGGAGAAGCTTCATCAGTGGATACCTAAAGCGTATTCTGAATTATTATTTTTTTTTTGGAAACAGACAAGACACAGTTGTGTTAAGGACAGAGAAATCAAAACCAAGCACATCCTTAGAAAAGACACATCTGTCATTGCTATCATAGAAACTGTTTTTAGAGGGAAATTCTATGTAAAAAAAAATTGTCATCCATCCAGGCCTGGACATTATCTATTGGCTTCTGAGACTGTTTGGTTAGAGTAGCCCGCAAACATGAACAATGATTTAGGTTTATATATTCATCTGATTCATATGGACCAAAACACTGGGACAGGAGTGGGAAATTTTATTTTATTTTGCTGATCAGAAGGGCAGAAAGTTTTCTGTCTCATTGGCTCTCGGTGTGGAAAAAAGTCCTGAGCAGGGCTTCCGGTATTTCAGTTGAGTATACAAACCAGATTTACAGTCTGCTTACATTTTCTCCTTTGTGTGCCTGGCTTTCCCAGATTTGTTTAACTTCTTCCACGTGGCATTTTATTCTTTGATTTTTGTTGTTACGTATTTACTGGGTGTTAATGAGCTAGAAGCACTGCAGGAAATAGCAGTTACACAGGGTCCCTTCTCAGTAAATTTATTATAGAAACTGGAAGCATCATATGATATTTTCTGGGATGGTAGGTGGATAATTCTATTTTAAGTTTATTTTTAATGATGGGTCAGTGGAGTCTCAAACACGTGCAGTCAGAGCTTATCTGACATTTATTTCGCTGCCCTTTAACATTTAACTTGGTTGGCCTGTTTACAAAATTTTTAAAAATATTTTTTCCTTTTTATTCCTTAGATTGGAATATTTCATTTTATCTCTCTTCAAGTTTGTTGTGCCACAAAGCTGCTGTTAAGACTATCCAGCAAATTTTTTTTTGTACTTTTCAGTTCTATAATTTCCATTTGGTTCAGTATTATAGTTTCCAAACTTCTGATAACATTTTCATCTGTTCATTTGAAAATATTTTCCTTTACATTTTTGAACATGTTTATCATAGCTACTCTGAATTCTGTGCTATTCCAGTATCACGATCATCTTAGAGGCAGTTTCTGTTGGCTGGGCTTTCTCTTGACTGTGGGACAAGTTTTGGTTTTGTTCTGCCTTTTTTTTCCTTTAACCTTTTTTTTTTAATTGAAGTATAGCCAGTTTATAATGTTGGGTCAGTTTCTGGTGTACAGCATAAGGTTTCAGTCATATATATGCATACCTATATTCCTTTTCATATTCTTTTTCATTGTAGGTTACTACTGAATATAGTATATTAAATATATATATATACTATATATATAGTATTCAACATATATATACTATTGAATATAGTTCCCTGTGCCATATTGCCTGGTTTTAAATGTCAAATAATTTTTTGTTGTATAATGACCATTATGTTTGATGTATTGTAGGGGCTCTGGATTTTGTTGTCTTTCATATACAATCTTGGCTTTTGTCCCAGCAGACAGTTAACTTACTTGAACTTCAACTCCTAACTCTACAATCTCTCTGGTGAGCAAGCACCTGAAATCTCCTCTCAGTTCCTTGAGCCTCCAAATGTTAATTTCACCCGCTGCCCTGGAGTATGTGTAGTTCAGGGATCAGTGAAGGATGTGGGTACAATCTACAAGCAGATTTGGTCTCTCATCTTTATAGCTCTCGTCACTGGGAGTTTTCTCTTTCAGACCTGAACTCAGTTTTCTGAGTTCACAAGGTACAGAGCTGCCCAGACTGGGAAGTGCCCTCATAGAAAAAGCTGCATGAACACGAATTTCATGCAATACAGTTATTCTTTCAAAAGTCTTTTCTCCTTAAATTCTGAAAGTTTTGCTCAGTTTTTAGTACCTTAACTCAGAGTGATTGTTTATATACCTGTTTTGCTTAGAGTTTATATAATTGTTATCTATGGAGGGGTCATCCACTCTGCTGTTACTAGAAGGAGAGTCTGTATAGAATTTAATATGCTCAAGCAACCATACATTATTGAATGTGTCTTAAGGTGTCTTGGGGAGGAAAAGCCAAAAAGCGTTTTTGAAATCAGATTTTTTAAAAAGTGAACAACCAATCAAACAAGAAATGTTTTCTATCTGCAACTCACCTGATTCACACTGAGAAATAAATCAGTTACAGGTATTCTAGCTTGTTGCCTGACATATGCATAGTAGCCACTGTGTGTTTAGAGAAAATCAACAAAGGCTGATCAACTAATTTGTAGTAAAGCGGAATCTTGTGATTAGTACTGGTTTATCAATAGCTAGAGTTTACGTAAACTTGACAGTTCATCGATCATTAAAAACAT